TTTCTTAGCACAGAGATTTATTCCCACACTGCTGGGATTTTTTGTTCCCAATGCCGTCTCTGTGTAAAAGCTTTGCTCCTTGGTCGGACGTGTCTGCAGGGAGAACTGGCCAATATTGCTTAGGCAACTTCATTTTGGACGAAATATCTGAAGACAGGACTCAGCTTGAAATTTTGAGGCTGTGGGGTGGACGGAAGAGGGAAAGGGTATTCCCAAATAGGCATAATCAGATATGTAAGGTGTGGAGGAGGGGACAGTGCGACGAGGAAGTCCGAGAAAGAGCGCACCTCACTCCCAACCACGCATTGCTGCCTTCCCACCCCCAAGGCAGGAGCCTACACCGGCCTCTCTGTAACTGGTACTCGTGACTTATTTGCCAGAGACACAGTTGGATCGTGACAGGCGAACTTTCTTGGGAACAAGTACGCGAGAGGCTAGATATCAGATTAGCCAAAGTGTTTATTGGAGATTTTGCCTGAAGTACCTGCTGAAGCCTGGAAAGTATGTAATGCAAGTATTTGATCGGCGTGGAGACGCTGCTCAGAAGTTGTTGCTGCTGCTCACTTGTAGAGAGCCCTGGCACTGCACGTTTGGGGAGCCTGCCCGTGCTGGAGATAGTATATAACCTTTCACATCGAGGCTATTTATTTGGTGTAAGAGCGAAGCCTGATAACAAGCTAAAAACCGTAGCCAAATATCTATTTTGTTAGAGAATAGCAGGCGAATTGTTTCCAAGAATAACAATGCGTCTTTGATATACCCAGAATGAAAGCTGTTACTATAACCGGCTTACTCAAGAGTAGGTGACAGAAATCCATTTACTTCCTCACTAAAACAATTAGCATCCCGGATTCCATATTTAAAATCTGGTTTAGAATAAAAATATCAATGATAATAATTTCAAAGAAGTTGAAACAGCGACTTCCATAAATATCGACTCTTTTGAATTATTGTTTAAATTGTTCCCCATCCCCACTCCCACCCCCAATTAAAAAAAAAAAAAAAAGGTAGCAGGCTAGAACAGAACAGTTAATATTTTGAGGCGAACTCTTTCTGTCCTTTCACACTCTGCCTTTAGCACACTGCTCTCTGGCGTGAAAGGTCTGCTCAAAAGACCATTCATTTAAAAATCCGTGCACAAATCACATTTTACGTGTGTTTATTTAAGCGCGCCAGGACAGAATGAGCAAATCCCGCCAACCACCCCGTTGTTAAGAGGAGCCTGCGTGCCAGAGAAGCCATCGCTTTTACCAAATGCTGAACTTGGGGCAAAACTCCCAACATTGACCTGGCAGAGCCCATCGGGAAGGAGCGCTCCCGTCCGCGAAGGCAGAGCAGCCTCGAGACTGTATCATTCCCAGGAACAAAGAAAGGAATACAGTCGATACATTCCATAACGTTTACATTTTCCCGCGATTTTTTTCTTATTTTTCCTTAGAAGTAGTGACCTGGGCAAAGCACCCTGCTATCTAAAAGACACTGTTATAGACCTTTTAGAAAAACTAAGTCCAAGGCCGAGGTGAACTTCAGGTCACCGCGTCTAACAAATATGAAAATGTCGCCTGGTGAAGGGCACGCCTTGTTATTTAACAAAGACTGTCAATGTGTAAGATTAATAAGAAACAAAATGCACACGGTGTCACTTTTCGGTCACTTTGAAACTTGGGACAGCCTCGTATTCAAGAGGGGAAAGCTGGGGCTAAATATATTCAAAATGGTTCAAATCAAAGTCAAGCCAGGCTGCTAGTGTGATTCTTCCTCCTCCTACTGTTCTCGGTGGAGGATGGCCGGGCACGACGAGAGGTTGACTTGAATTATTATTATTATGATTACTATTATTACTACCACTTTTGCTATTATTGCTGTTATTATTATTATTTTATCTTTCGTGGAAATTACGGTTTATCCGCATATGTGGAGGGTAGCAGGAATGCTTGTCTGTTTCACCAGAAAAAGAGGGATCCCCTTTTTCCCCTCTTTGGGTATGTATGAGGTTGCCTCTTCTTGGTGCATGAAAATTTACTCTCTCCCTCTCAACTCAATTCTGATGCGTCCAGAATTAATTCCTTCTCGTCCTCGGCCAGACTCGGCCAGGAAACTCTCGCTTCTTTATTAATCGATTAAAGTCTCCTTCTTCAGTGAAATCGAGTCTTTAGTCCTTCTGGGAAAATAAGGGAGCTGGCCTATTTTATCCTATCCTTTTCTTTTTTTGAGAGCTTAGGGTGATGGTACAAGTTTGTTAAAAGGAAGTACCGGGGAAAAAAAGGGTTTCTTAGATTGTTTATTACAGCCATAAATCTTGCAGTAAAATGTCGAAATGGCCGTGTGCAAGATAACACTTGGTGGTCTTGGCTGGGTTCTTGTTTATGATAACAAAACCACAAAGACATGGAACAGGCCTTTTGGAGGTCCTGCCTCAGCACATCTTCGCAGACTAATAGAGCCACACGAAAAAACAGACTTGAGCTGAGCAGCTCAGGTCACCTTGCAGATTTACACTCGTATACAAAATTGAGTCCTTCTTTCTGTAGCCGAGCGCCAGAGACCCGCTGTAGAAAGAGGTGCAGTGAAACTTTGAGATCTAATCACAGTAAATAATACGAAGCAGAGGCCGGTCAACTCTCCCGATAAAGCGCTGAGCTTATAAACCGAGACAACATATTTCGTTTTGCTCTACCATGGCGTGGGAACACGGCAGCCCGCTGTAGTGCTCCGGCCATAGTGCCTCAGGAGTTATGCCGAGGATAATATTTACGATACCCCAGTGTAATTCATCTGGTGCTGCCCGGCAGGTATTTGTGCGTATGCGTCTGTATGTATGCGTGTATCTCTTTACGCCGGGAATTGTTCGCTGGTCGTGGTGGCTTTTGGCAATCTTTTACTTTTTATAGCCATGTAGATGGGAGCTTTATTCTTCCAGAACATGGGTTGCTGCTGTTTTGTTATTCTTGTCGTTTTAATATAAATAAAACGATCTCCCCTTTTCTGTCAAATATGTGTTGTTGAACAGTTGCTGCTGTCTCTGTGTGTAACCGCGTGTGTGTAACCGCATTTCCTCTCCACGCAGAGTAAATAGAGAAACTTATCTATTACCCCAGTTAAAGAATTCCATAGATGTGCTGTTGAAAACGAGTAAGTAAATGTGTTTTAACTCTCTTTACAAATTAGACATTCGATAGTAGGAGGAAATGAGTGATTGTTTAGATAAGTACCCCAGTATACCCAAGTGCTGGAAATGTTCTAACATATTACAAGCCGCATGCAATGTGCGTGCCTGTGTGTCTGTGAATAAAATATAAATCGATACGATGTGTGTCTTGTTAGGTGGAATATATATTCAAATAGAATTTTATTGCATGTATCCATTATCTATAAAACTGCAAAAGACAATAATCTGAATTTAAACCAGGGTGACTGTTAATGTAATATCTTTAGGAGGGCAAGATCTAAACTGTATCATATTTACGCTTGATATATTAGAAGTATTTTCCCATACCAGCAGATGAGATTACCCACTCAGCAATTATATTCTCTAAGGGTGCAGTAAATATTTCTATGTGTTCATATGCTTTCCTTAAAAGAAGAAAAAAAATATCCGAAAAGTTCGCTTCTAACTCCATATGTGCCAGACTAGCTGACACAATCTCCAGTACTTCAATAAGTATTTTCCCCCTTAGAATAAGAGCGTAATTAGTTTAACCATCAAATTTCAATTACCTAAGGTCAAGACTGTTGCCTCTTTCCCCCCTGAGCTGCAAATATCGTTAACAGTCTCAGTGTTAGCAACATAGGGGTGTCTGAGTGCCCTCTCCCTCCTACACCAGGATTTGCGAGTTACTTTTGCGAAGGTGCTGGCGATTTCTCGTGGAAGTGAAAATTATGGAATAAACCCAAGACGAGGCATACCAAACCAATGGACTTAAAATCGTAGTTCAGAAAGAGCTCCTCCACGGGGAGGGATGCTCGCACTGAGCCCTGCGATCGCCGGTAGGAAGTATTTCATTCCGTCGTGTCCGCCTTCCCCTCTCCCTTCCCCCTCTCTTCCCCGTTATTTTCAGGCTCGCAATGTCCCTCACACCCCGCAAGCCACTTCAGGACTCTCTTCGGCCTCCCCGCGACCTTCGTTCTAACTTTCGCATCTATTCGTTCAATTAGCACAGATTCAGAGGCTCAAAGGACTGACCCTGGAGCGACGGGGCGCTGGGGACAGATCCCGGAGGGCGGCCGGTGGCCTGAGCCCGGCAGCCGCTGCCGCCCTCTGCCTGTGCGAAGCCCCGGTTCTATGCTTTTGGAGATGGGCTTGTTTAAAAGGATTGTGCAACGCCTTGTGCAGTGCCTGGCTCCCTCTGGATCACAAAGTTGGGCTGCGCTCCGCTTCCTCGCCCCGCTTCCTATACTCTCCCGCGGGGGAACTAGGGCACAAGAAGTGCTGGGGCGGGCGGGGTGGGTGGGAGACTGTCAGAGCCGGATTAGTTTTATCTCGCTTGACACTGCGACTGCTGGACGCAGCCCGGGTCGGCGTGCGGGAGGAGCTAGGGATGCTGGTGAGGAGCGGACGCGGGGAGCTCCCTCGCCAAGCAGCCGCCGCCCTTGGGGGAGGCGCGGCCCCCGCGGAGGGTCCGCGGGCGCGGAGCTGCCCCGCGGCCCCTCGTTCTCCTTCCATTTCCTGATCCGGGGTCCGCGGCCCCGCGCGGTAATTGGCGCTGGCGGTCAGGTGGTGGCGGGGCGGTGGGGGGTGCGGGTGTGTGTGTGCGCGGGTGTGTGTTGTGTGTGTGTTGTAGGCGCTCCAGGGGTGGGAAGAGAGGAAGGGAGGGGAGTGCGGCGGGGAACGGGGGGAGGGAGGGCTGGAGGCCCAAACTTTGGCAGCGGCGAGCACTTGACAGCAGCGGGAGGGGGAGAGGGAGGGCAGGGAGGGAGGGGGGGGGGAAGGGGAGGGGCCTCGCCGAGCCCAGAAAAACGACAACGCGAGAAAAATTAGTATTTTTGCACTTCACAAATTAATGACCATGAGTTCGTTTTTGATAAACTCCAACTACATCGAGCCCAAATTCCCTCCCTGCGAGGAATACACGCAGCACAGCGGCAGCGCCGGCAGCTCCGCCAGCTACCACCCGCACCACTCGCACCCGCACGCCCCGCCGCCGCCGCCGCCGCCGCCGCCGCACCTGCACGCCGCGCACCCGGGCCCGGCGCTGCCCGAGTACTTCCCGCGGCCGCGCCGGGAACCGGGCTACCAGGCTCCCGCAGCGCCGCCGGGGCCGCCGGGGCCGCCTCCCGAGGCTCTCTACCCCGCGCAAGCACCCTCCTACCCCCAGGCTCCCTACAGCTACAGCAGCGCCGGCAGCGCCGCCCCGGGCCCCGAGCAGCCGCCCCCGGGCGCCTCGCCGCCGCCGCCCGCCAAGGGCCACCCCGGCCCGCCCCAGCCCCTGCTCCCAGGCCATGCCCTGCAGCGCCGCTGCGAAGCAGCCCCCGCCGCCGGGACCGGCACCGGGCCCGGCTGTCCGCTACTGCCCGACAAGAGCCTGCCCGGGCTGAAGGGGAAGGAGCCGGTGGTCTACCCCTGGATGAAGAAGATCCATGTGAGCACGGGTGAGTTGCCCTTGCCAGGGGGAGGTGTGGATGCGCCTGCAGAGGAGGGAAGGGGGGAGGGTGCTCCTGGGGACGGGATGGGTCTTTGCGTGTGTGGCTTTTTTTTTTCCTCCTTCTCCCTCCGCGTTTCCTAATGCTTAAAAAAAAAAAAAAAAAAAAAAAAAGGAAAAAAAAAAAAAGAAAGTGAGAAACCTTTTGTATCCGGGGTCCTTTATCAAAAGATTTACGAGACGCCAAACTGTTAGGGCAGTAATTATAGCCCCCATAAATTTAATTGCCCTGCAGTGGCTCTGGGCCATGTGTCTTTGAAGCTTTTCTTCTAACCCAAATGCCCATCACCATTTTTTATTGCTCCTCGATTGTCCCCACTGTCGATAGGCTGTGAAACAATTTTTCTTGCCGTTTATGTATCTTATGTGAACCTGGTGTCAAGTTATTATATAATGATTATGTCCCATCGCTTCCCCCCCTCCTTTTTATCCCTCCGCGTGTGTATGTATGTGCCTGTGTGTGCACGTTTCAGTCAACCCCAATTACAACGGAGGGGAGCCCAAGAGGTCTCGCACTGCCTACACCAGACAGCAGGTCCTGGAGCTGGAGAAGGAGTTCCACTTCAACCGCTACCTGACCAGAAGGCGACGCATCGAGATCGCGCACACCCTCTGCCTCTCGGAGCGCCAGGTCAAGATCTGGTTCCAGAACAGGCGCATGAAGTGGAAGAAAGACCATAAACTGCCTAACACAAAGATGCGCTCCTCAAACCAGTCCACACTGAGCCAGCAGTCCAAAGCACAGACACAGGGCCACCCCCATCCGCTCGATGGGGCTACACCCAATGCAGCCGCGCTATAAATACGGCTTTTGGTTTGAGTTTTTTTGTTGTTATTTTTTTTTAATATATATATATTTACCTATCTATTGGGGTTTTCAAACTGCCTCATGGTGGAGGCTGGCCGTTTGGACCAAACAGTGTAAAACAAAACAGGAGCAGGAAACGAAGACGAAATGTGCCCAAGAACGGGCACATGTTTAAACCAAAACCCGGACGATTGTCTACATTGTATATAGATAATGGTTCCATGCCCAACATTTTTTTCTATTTATGGAAACGCTCTCTTGCCCTCGGTGTAAAAGAGGGCTGGATGGTGTCATGGACGAATTCTCTGTATCTAAGATGGACTTTTTTTTTTTTTTCTTTTTTTAAAGGGAAAACTTTACAAATAAAAGACTTTACAAAGTAAAGAGCTCGTGGAACAGTTGTGTAAGGCATTGACTTGAATAATGCTGTTTCATGGCGTGTTCGTGGATTCTTCTGTGTGTGTATGTGTGAGGGTGCACAGGCACATGTACACACTCACACCAACATGGGAGAGACAACGAACACGTCCATGAGAGGTTAAAGACTTACAAAAAAGTCCTCTTACCCTGTCTAAAGGAAAATGTTTTATGTATCATAACAAAGGTAACTTAACTGGTTTTAAGTGTATCCCCCGCAGTAGCTGTGATCTATTAGTTTTTCTCCACTTTCCCTATTGCATTTATTTAAAGAAATATTGCTATAAAGGCTGTTGCTGTCTTCATATTTGGCACCGTCTAAATAGTTTGGGTCCATGTAAAATTTGTGGATTTTTGGTGTAATGTATAACAGTGCCAAATGCTGGTAATAAAGATTATTCTGTACAAAAGAATTAAACGCTTGAAACAAGAGTCCACTAAGTGCTGTTTCATCCACCTTGTGCTTAACTGGTGTTAGAACCAGGAATAGAAAACAACGGCTTAATGTATTGTTCTAACTTGGATTCACCTATCAATAAGGTAATGGTTATTTTCAATATAGTGAAAAACGTCCTGACTCCTAATTGCCTGGCTGGGAAAAAGTGTGCTATAGGATGGGGAAAGGTCTTGCTTCATTGTATAGGTGAGTGGTGTTCTCTGTAGCGGACTTAAGGCAGAGTGAGTCTGACTCCATCGCTTGCTCTGTGACTGTTTTCAGCTGCGTTACAAGAGAAACCGTGCTTCTTCTGGGAGCCAGTAAGATCCCGTGCCATGATAGCACTTTAAATTTTTAGCCAGTCGTGATTTATTTATTCGTTTTCTCTGATTATGATTTCTCAGCTGGCTAGCACTGTTTAAGGGAAACACATGAACGGTAACCTACAGTTTCTTTTTAAGCTGCCGTTTCTGTTTCCTTTAATTTTGTTTTTAAGGTTATTTTGAAATGTGTTGAGAAAGCCTCGGCAGACATGCGAATTTGGGTACAACTCAGGAGGCTTATGCGACTGAGATTGTCACAACTATTGTGGCAAAATGGGGTTCAAGTGGTTCCAGCTCAGGCTGTGCATTTCGCTGCTTCCAGGCAGCTAAGGAGTGCAGGCAAAGCAGAGCTTCTAAAGGAGAGCCTTGCTCAGGGCTTTCACAACGTAGTGTAGCACCAAGCCAGGTAAGAAAAATCTTGGAAAGGAGCTCAAATGCTCGTAAATCTTCAAGGGAAGGCCTGAAGGCCAACATTTTTTTACTTACCCAAATACATCCGAGAGGGATTTTTGGAATCAGTGTTTCTCTTCACATTGAGTGAGACCGCCAGGACCAGGGGCATCATCACACTCTGGTTGAGGTAGAACCAGGCCCCAAAGGTGCTGCCAGCATCCCTGCCCGGTCATGGAATATGAACCATCCCGGAGAAAAATGTAACATGCCGGTGGCAGAGCACGCTCAGCATCAGGGAGGTGGTGTCTTTAAATACACTACGCAAACACTGCTGTCTCCACACCTGACCAAAGAGCAGGCCTGAAAAGCATGCTTGTACTCACATATTGCTGTTTACTAAATCCTGAATCGCCAGTTATCTCCTTATAAAGGAAGAAAAATACAGCTGTTAAGTGAGGTAACTACTATCCGCAAGTCTGTAACTCTTTGTTTTGTTTATTGCTTGAGAATCCCTTCATATATTTGCAGTCAAAATTAGCACAACCGAGCAAAATTCCAGCTGAAACGTATTAACTGGCGGTGCAGGATTTCTTTAGTGAGCAGCCTATGCGTATAAACCTGGTTTGGTCCCATTGTAAAGAGAAATGAAATCACGCTGCAAATAGCAATTTTAGCGAGAATCATTAATCACCTCCTACAATAAATACTTCTTTGTAATTCAACAGCCGTTCTGAAAGGCATTCTCTTGGAAAAGTCTGTGAAGACGCAAAGGATTTTCCTGGGGAAAAAAAATGGTCATGTGTAAAGACACAGCATCTTGTCTGTCTGCTAAAAAAATGTACTTTCTCTTGCCGGACGTTCAACCGCGGACTGCAAAATACCCCATGGCAGATTATCATCGTTTAAGGTAAATTTTCTTTCCCCCCCTTCCCCCTCTGGCTGCGCTGGGAAGCAGGACGCTGCTCCCGGGCTGGGAGCCCTCTGCTCCTAGTCCGATACCTCCCGTCTTTACAATAACTTTGAAAATTACATCGTCCAGTTTAAATTCTCGCATTGTGCTCCCTTTGCTAAGGCAACCGGGAGTTCACCGAGAGGACAAATTTTCTATCCCATTAATTGTTTTTTTTAGAGGAGCAGACTGACCCTTCAAACCCTTGACCTTTAAAGACAGTATTCTTTTTAATCCGGCACTTGGACCTAAATGTCTCTTTCCCCCCTCCCTCTCTCCTGCTCTCCCGGTGTCTCTCACACACGGATTTATCTGCTCTGGCCACAAAGACAAGCGCGGCCCAAAACGCTGAAAGTGAAGTTTGTCAATATTTCAAAGAAAGACCGAATCAGCTCGGAGTCAATTTGCTGGCTGCAGGGAACGCCATGCCGTTAACCTCGGCACCCACCTCCCCTCCACCATCAAGAAAAATACTCCTCTTCCAAGATCTGCCTCCTCGTTTTTCCTACGAGCTTTGCTATACCTGGTGTTTCATTACACGAGGAGCTGAGCTGTGACAAGCGCCTTGTGGTATTTAATAACCAGAGCCATCCTGCCTTGTGAGATTACGCAATGCTGGGAAATTTATTTTTTTTTTTGTTCAGGGTGCTTGCAGTTCCATGGCCTTCTTGCTCAGTGTTTGTAAACGAGGAAGGGGTGGGGGGAGCCCTCACACAGGTGGAGATCTTGACAGGCTTGCCATGAAACTTTGGCTCCCCCCAGTCCTCCCGTGCTGCCCTATTCGGGCAGTCCCGAGCCCGCCTGCCGTTCCCGCACCTCCGCCAGAGCCGGCCGGGCGGCGCGGCCCCGGGGCGCCCGCACGTCACGTCCCCGAGGAGGCGGAGGCTCCTGCCATGTCCTCAGCCTCACGGCAAGGCCAGGCTGCGGCGGGTGGGATCCCGCGGGGTCGCCCCAGGGCTGTCCCCTTGAGCGCGGTGTTGCGCGGGCGCCCAAGCCCGGCCCACGGGGGTCCCAGTGGGGCCGGGGCTCCCCGCGTGGGCAGGGAAAGCTCCACGGCCTCCTCCCTCCGGCCCGGGGCAGCCCTCCTGGCTCCGCCCGGGCCCGCGGACAGGCAGCACTGACCCATGGAAGGCGGCCCGGGGGATGCCGTCCTGGTGCTCAGAGCCCCCTCCCCGCTGCAGACAATGAGGATCTGGGTTCAACTGACTCGTTTGGAGGTGTGTGTGGGCGTAAAGCTGACCCATCTCTCTGTGCAGGACGGGACAAACCCATGTTATTAATGCCCTAGCACTCTCCCTAGAAACTGAGGCGATGTCAAAGCAAGGAGAGATTAGGGGACCCAAGTACGAGCATCCCTGCACTCGCAGATAAAGGTGTTGCGTCTGTTCTGGGGGAGATATTGAAATTTTTATCTTTATGGTCACGTGACTCATTAAATAATTAATGCAGATAGTCAGGAATGGATCTGTGGCCGTCAGTCCTCACTAGGAGTGATTCTCTCAGAAGTGAAACTCAACTCCTTATTACTGGAGTTTGTTTTTCTTTCTTTTTTTTTTTTTTTCTTAAAAAAAATACCCACCTGATTTATCTTGAAAGATTCTAAACTTCTTAAGCAAGCAGTAGGGTCTGTGGTGGTAAGTAGGTAGTGTGTATTTCTAGCTTGATGAATTTAATTGTTTGTGCTTGCTTTGTGTGCTGAGCATTTGCTTAACAAGTTTAATATTTAGAAATGTTAAATCTTTGTTTCAGCTGCCTTGTGGTCACATTACGGCTTTTGGTGATTAAGTGTTACCGAAGCAAACACATTTGATAATGTTCTAATTCACACTGTGGAAGGCTGGGTGCCACGGTGCAGGAGGACCTGCTTTGTTCAATTTTCCTGGCGTTAATAAATCACCGGCTCTTAATACAGGGCCAAAAAAGCAATGGAAAGGCAGTGAGCATTGTAAAGGAAAAGTCATGGGCGAATTTCTCTATGACTCATTAGTCTGAACGATTTATCTACGAACTTAGAGTGCCGCAATGAATATTAGAGTTTGGGATAACAACAAATTTTAAAAAAAAAGTTAGAGCTTTTTAAAAGTGCTTTACTGCTACTTAGCAACTCTTTCAAGAACCAGCATAGTTTAAAGGACCGTGGCAGTGTAAAATATGGTAGCGTGACCTAATAGCTCTAAAATAAATAACAGAAAGTCGCTGGCACCATTTTCAGATACACGCTCCATATTTAATACGAGTGGGACAACCGAGTCACGACATGCTTGATCGATGATTATTGCTGTTTGTAACATGACTATTGATTAGGGATCAAAACGGCTAAGGTATGTTTTTGAGCCTAAAATGCCAGGGGGTTCCCCCTGCGCTGAAGGCGAGTGGAGAGAAAGGTAGAGCTAAGGATAACCCCAGGAAGCAGCACCGGGGCTCTGCCATTGCAGATTGAACTTTCCATTTTCTTTTGTGTTTGCCAGTAGATTTTAACAGTCAGCGCTCTCAAATTTATGACACAGCAATAAACAGTTTAGTAGACTATTACTGCATGATTTTATGTAGACTGGAGTTCAACACCAAATTTAAAATTATTAGCGTAATTATTGAACTACTAAATTACCAAAGCAAAGTCTCCGCTCGAAAAGTTATCCCAAGATAGACCTAATATTTCCAAGGCTCAGATAACACCCTTTCACAAGAACTGTGTTATTTAATTATTAGCATTTGCATTTACTGACGATTTTAAGATGCATTAGATGGGTTTTATTAGCAAGACTGAATACGGGGGTACATTGTTATATCTGACAAATTCATATATAAAAGTGATTCAGTAAGTGACATGCAAATAATCTGGCTGTTGTCTTATTGGACTGTGC